TTTTATTCTTTAATTTTTTTTATTTTGTGTTTTTTTTTATTTTATGGTTTTTTATTTTTTACAAAAGGGTCTTGAAAAGTACCTAACATTCAATTAAAATATAGTGTCTGATCAAAACTAGAAATGAAAAACAGGAAAACAGAATGGCCCAAGCTTGAAACACTTTTGGAATAAAACAACTTGAAAATCAGGACTACATCTCCCAGTACACGAGGAGCAGGAACCCTCCGGATGTGTGGCAGGGGCTCAGCACAAAGGAGAAAGGGAAACACCACGGGAGATGTTTGCCAGGCAAGAAATCTGCAATTCCTGTGACTCACAGCATTTCCAAAAGGAAACATTCAGTCTCTTTTCCTGCCAGAAGTCGACATCTTTTTCAGGCAAAAATAACCACTTTTCTCCCCAGCTGCACTGTTGAGTGTGGTTCCCATTTTTAACAGGGAGCAGCCTTCCACCCACGGGATTTTTTGCATTTTGCAGGTGGATTTTGTGCAGCCAGAGAAGAATCCCAGAACCCACCACTGACCATGGACATTTCCACCTCCCTGAGGAATCACCTCCTCTCAGCAGCTGGGGCTCAGCGCTCCTTTTGGTGTCCAGCACCTCGATGGCTGTGAGCAGTGTCAATGGAGGGTTTAACAACATCGATGGAGTATGGAAGGGATGTTTTATAGGATAGATGTAAATCTCTGACTGCTTTATCGCAGATGTTGTATAGCTGATGATGCCTACAGGCAGCACGCACCTGCCTGGATCTACAACTACCTGGAAGGAGGCTGCAGCCAGGTGGGTGTCAGTCTCTTCTCCCAAGTAACAAGCAATGGGACAAGAGAATATGGCCTCACGTTGTGTCAGGGGAGATTTAGATTGGATATTAGGAAAAAATTCTTCACTGAAAGGGTTCTCAGGCATTGGAACAGGCTGCCCAGGGAAGTGGTGGGTCACCATCCCTGGAGGTATTTAAAAGTTGTGGCACTTAGGGACATGGCTTAGTGGTGGACTTGTCAGTGTAGGGTTTATGGTTGGACTAATGATGATCTTAAAGGTCTTTTCCAACCTAAATGATTCTACAATTCTACATCTGAATGATGAGGAATGGGAGGAAAACACCAGTGCACACGTAGGCAGCTTAAAGCTGAGCTTCACTCAGTTGTAGTGTCAAGAGAACAGAAACTTGGGACCAGAGGGAGTGACCTTCCCATATCCCAGGGTCAAGATTTAATGATCTGTTTCCAAAGCCCTTCTGTAACAGAGATACTTTTCTTAGACTTGCTGTTTCACATGGAGCTGGTCAGTGACTGGCAGCAAACAGACTCAAATTGCAGCCTGGGCATCCGCTGCCTGGCTTTGGGAAAACCCCTTTCTCCCAGGGGACACTGTCTGCATGTGGCTGCTGCAGAGCCAGATGCCACGGTTTGCTAAAGCTCCTTGAAGTCTCTGGACTAAAGGAGTGACAAAAGACTCAGCGTGGTTTCTGTGTTGAGAGATGATTTTGGTTTTTATTTGGTTTTTATTGCAAATATACACATTACACTACCGATGATGCACAGGAATTTAAAAAGCTATCGCTTGCTAAAATTTCATGATTACAAAACTTCACAAAATTTGTTACAACTAAAAAACCCACCTTCAGGAGTACATAAATAGAATTTTGAGCATAAATAACAGTAACAAAATAAACAGATGTATGTATTCAATAAATTAATTATAAATATTGCATTGGCAATGAAGTGCTAGGTCAGAAGAACACCAGTATTTCCAGTAGAGCTTTTTTTTTTTTTTTTTTTTTGTATAGAAATCTCTATTATAAATGAACCTTTGGAAATGAGTAGAATCCCTGAACCCTTTTCTTTTTTTCTTTGGTTTCACCCTGGTTATTCCTTTGTCAAATTGTTACGATGGGAGAACAGAACTGAAGACAGCAGACATCGGTGTTTTGGCCACGAGGAACTCAGAATCCCCTCCTGCAAGAAGAACGGTGTGGCTGACCCAGTCCTGCCGCATTTAAGTCACTAAGCTGTCTCTCCACTGATTCCCACAGATGCAGAATTGAGCCTGAAAGGACTTAAAAGAACTACTGATGGTTAAAGGTTAAACACAAAAACCTATTTTGCAATTTATTTGACCTTTACATCATCTGTTTTCAGTCTTTCTCTGGGTTTGCTAATGACATACATGCTTATATACAACAGAACCTTAATTTAAGCACTAATTTGAACGGTCATTCCCTACCTGATGAACACAAACTTTAGTTCTGTGCACTCTGCCAACCACACACAGAATTCTCACGAATGCTCATGAGAACTCTCTGCTGGATGATGCTGATCCCACAGTGACCGTAAATCAGCCTATTAAAAAAAAAAAAAAAATCAAAGATCCAGTTTTCCAAAGCTCCCTTTAGCAATAAGAGAAGGAAGAAAATTCTCCCTTTCTTCCCTTATTTCCTGAGGGAATAAAAAGCACAATCTACAAGCAGAATGGTTTTTCAGTGGTATGCTCTCAAGAGAAAGCTTTCCCAGAACGTTGTTAGCAGCTTTTAGAGAAGCAGCATTGACTCGAGTTGGTGTAACCACGTTTGCTGGGTTTTCCTGATTCATGTTTTGTTCCCAATGTTTGTCTTTAAGGCCTCTGAAGAGGAAAAGCTTTTCTGCATTTGCTCCTATGAGCAGAAATAGCAGGTGAATATATGTGGCAATGTAGTTGATGTAGAAAAATTAGAATTGTTTTATCATCACCACGGTAATGGAGGAACTCTGAGGAAGCTGCTAAACTTTTCTTATTTAATCCACCTTTTCCAGATAAAACTATGGATAGGCAATTCTTTAGAGTAGAATAACGTCTGGGCACGCATCTCTTACAACCCATTGCAAGGAAAAGGCTGGCTCCGTACTGAAATACGCAAAAAAGTTTGAAATACCACTACACGAAAAAAACTAAAAACCTGCAGCATTCTGCAAGATTCCTTTAAAAAAACATGTCTGTGTGATCAGAGTCATTTCTGAAAGCTGGGGCTCTTCACCGGTGACAGTTTGGAGGTGATGCCGAAGGGGTCCATGCTGTCCGTTTCGAGAGGCGAGGAGTACACCTCCGGTTCCAACCCCTGGCTGTAATCGCTGTATTCGCCAAAGTCTGTTGACTCCACGGGCACCGTGTTGATCATAGGTAAGAAGTGAGAGAGCGGAAGAAAATCTTTCCCTTTGAACTGTTGTCTTTGCTTGGCACTACTCAAAGACACCGATATTCCGTATTTTTTTGATTTGTAGACATTGTAGCCGTCTGGACGAATCTCCTCTTCAAAGGAACAATCCTCGGTGGAATACCTGAGCTGAACAGCAAGGAGTAACGAGAGTTACAAATACACCCACCAGAATCACTGTGTCCAACCACAACATAAACTGTGGATGCCACCAGCCCTCCTCCCTCTGCCCTCAGTGGGGATGTCACCCTGGATTGTCACGGGTGCCCCAGCTGGGTGCACCTTGCGAACCCCCTGCCAGATCCATGCTGCTGGGCTGCCCGCTGCCTCCCTGCCTGCCTGCTGCAGGGGTGCCGGTGGGACCCATTGCTCTGGTGACTGTTCTTTCAGTGATGTGCCACAGCCACCAGGATGAAGTGCCCTGAAGCACTGGGAAGTGGTCAGGCAGTGGGACTGGATAATAGTTGTAGGTCTCTTCCAACTGAAATATTCTATTATTCTGTTCTATTCTATTCCATTCCATTCCACTCTACCCTATTCTACTCTATTCTACTCTACTCAAGCTCCCCACATGGCCCATAGTATGTATTTGGGGTTATGAGGCTACTAAAAACTCAATGCAGAACAGCTGGATTTAATGTATGCTCATCACATGAAATATAAGCTTTGAATCCTGGATGTGCTCTTCTCCACAGCTACCACACCTATCCTGTGCTGGGCACAGGGAAAAAGGATCTGAGATGAGAGTGCTCATTACATGAACTGTCCATAGCTGCTGACAGTGCTTAACTGCATCACAAGACCTGACCCAACAACCCTCACATATAAAACTCCTGCTTTGTTAGAGATTTCCCTGTGTAAGGGCTTCCAGGACCAGGTCTGTAGAAAGTGCAAAGATGCAATCATAGCCAATCAGTAAAACAATACTAAAAAGATAATTGCTTTTTTATTTTTTTTAACTCAGCATTTACTGAAATTACAAAAGACCAGTCAACGCAGGGTTATTTGCTCATTACCCACCAGTTAAACTGTCAAATTCATACCAGTGCAAGTTAAGATTTGGTACAGAAGAATGTATTTTCCCAGGTATGAACTTGTAGAATGATGTTTGTGAGAATGCTGCACAGATCTGGAGCTTCCATCACCAGGTCAGACTTTCCCAGATCCTTACACAAGCCCTGTATGTCTTACAGCTCTGCTGCTATTCCGGGCTCAGCCGCTACAGGTGACTGAACTCACGGTCAATAAAAGAGAATCGCTGATTATGTCTCAGCCCACAGCGATAAAAGTGTCCATACATGAATGCTCTGCCTCTCTGAATATTTGGTACTCTTCAGTCCTTTCTCAAACACCCTCAGTAATGTGCAGTACAATGAAGTGCATGTATTTGGTTGTCTTTTAAAAGCACTTTTTAAACTAATCAAGTCATTTTTAAAAAGGCATTTTCTCCAAATAAAATTACACAGTATTTACCCTTCTACACATGTTCTAGCTCAGAAAAATATGTGTCTATGATATCAATTTATGGCTGAATCATTAGCTGTCTTTACTTCTATGGGTGCTCAGCCTCACTAACAAGGATGATGAAATAAAAAAGCTTCTTGAGCAAGTGCGCATGACAAATAAGGGTTATTGATTGTGCCTCACGTGTCTCAACTATACCATTCCCTCTTCATTTCTTTGGGATTGTCTCTAGTGCATTTTTTTTAAACAAGTACCAAATACACTTTAAGTATTTCAAGACTATATTTTTCACAGGAGGAATTTATAATATGTCAGTATATTAAGCAGTTACATCTTTCCCCTAAACTGCAGACTGCAGCACGCTGCACATTCAAAAATCAACCCCAGTCATCACTCCTGAGCGTAGTGCTGATAAGGCAAAGAATTATCTGCCTGGGGTTGTTAGCAGAGAGGTGACGGCAGGTGTCTATAACAGGTAGATGTGATGGCATGGCTACATGCTATTTTCAGAAAAAAAAACCCTCCGGTTAATACTATACACCAAGAGACACAGTTCCATTCAAGGCATATGCATGTATCTTCAAAATGGTGTTCTATGAAATCTGTGTTAAAATTCTGTGACCACAGAAGTCAAGCCAGCAGCTCTGATGGGAGCAGCATCCAGGCTCTGATTTGTTTTCATTGACCATTTTGCTTTGGATGTACATTAAAACATTAAGCTAATAATTGACCTACCACGTCGTCTAAACCTATGCACCTGATCACAGCATCGATTGATTCTAGCCCAGACAACCAAAGAAATTCAGAAAGAAAGGTTTTATTCCTACGCTATATATGCATTCAGAAACATCACTACATCAGTATTGCTCTTATTAAAGATACTGGGAGTTTTGACAGTGGGCCAAGCCCTCACCTGATTGGAATCAGCAGAAATTTTGCCAGAGTAATCAAAGCAGAATCAAGCTGTATCTTTACTACGGCATAATAAACAGCCATGGCTCTGTGAAACTCGGGCTCCTGTAAAGCAGTTACACACAGACTGGATCTGAATCCTACCCTTCTCTAGAGTCGGCAACTTACTCACGTGGCTTTAAAAATGCGTTTATAATCCCTGATAATGACTAGCTGATAGGCAGACATGCCTAGGGAAAAGGCATGACCTAACAAAGTGGTGTCAGCGGGTCGCTCAACTCCTCAACCTCTTGGAGTCCCACAGGTGTGCTCTTATCGCAGGTCAGAAGTGAAGTGAGACAGGGAAAAGAGTCCTTCTTCCCCTCGAAACCCTGTTTCTGTTTGGTGCTACCTCAGCGATGGCAACCCCGTGTTTCTGGTACTTGTGTGCCTGGCAGCCCTCTGCCTGTATCTCCTTTCCAAAGGAGTCATCTTGGGGTTTTCTTTACAGAATACCTGACTTGAACAGTGATAAATTATTCCGATTCTATGGCGTGAGAAATTATTCCAATTCTATGGCATGACTTAATCTATTTCTGCAGCAGAAATGCAGCCACCCACCGATGAGGCTTTTCAAACATCAACGCAATTTTGCTCTCAAGTGTATTTTCACTACACCCTGGCAGGGGACATGCAACACACACTTTGCACTCTAAATGCTGTTCCTTGTTGAATTCTAATAATCCTGACCGCCTTTCAGGCAGCAACAGTGACAAGAATCACCGGTCCTAGAGAGAAAAGGGGGGGGTGGAGGGGACCTGGAAGCTTTGTTAACCCATTACCAACTGCAGTGATGAAAAAAAGTATTGTCAGCCCTTTGCCTGCCGATCCAGCGCCGGGCTGGAAACCTCCCTCGGGAAAAAGATGAACCCGGGGAAGAGCCACCGGGA